TGCTGAGCTAAATAACACACTGCGGAATATGGCAGGAGATGGCCCATTTAAAGCAGGCCCGCTGAAATTAATTAAGACCAAATGAAGCATTAAACGGTTCTCATTTGCAGCTCAGACTGTCACTGGGTAGGCAAGGGTGGACTCCCCTATCTAAATGGAACCCCTCCCCAGGCAAAGTGGTCTTAAATTTGGGGTGGCGGGGGACAAAATGCATTTCTGGCTAGGGAAAGGTGGGATTCAGTAGGAAGATTCAGTTTGCGCCTATCCAAGGAGGAAAAAATAAATCTCAAATGCTTAGCACCGAGGGATCATCTTTTTCTCATTTCGTGAGTCCCGGTTTTAAAGTGAGCACACACAACCTGACTCCAAGAAGTCCCTCATCTGAAGGCCAGATTTTATTTTACAACCCTGAGGCACCAGATCATCCTTCCTCTCCCTTAAACTGGAATTGTTCTGGCCAGCTGTCAGCCTCAGCAGTTCTCACAAATGCTCATGTACACACTGGGTTAAGAGAACAGGAAAGAAAGAGGAAAAGCAGAACTCAAGCTAGGAGACGATTCTACCGACTATGGCTGACAATCGTTTTCTGCAAGAAAACAGACTTACACTAGTTTGGGAACTGACAATTTTATAATATCTAAGGCTCACAACACACATTTCAGAGAAGAACAATACTCCTAGGACAGGGAACTCAGAGGATAAAGAATGCCTTACATGTAGAAATATGTCCAGAGTCGGGCCGGCAGGTGGCGTGGTGGTTAAAGGCGCTGGACTCCCACGTGGCTGAACATGGTTCAAGCCCCAGACTTGGTGGCTTGCTTTCCTACTTTTCCTCTCTCTTTCTCTGTCTCTCTCTGATCAAATTGGAAAATAATAATAATAAATAAATAAAGTTAACATTAAAAAAATAATAATTCTTAAAAAAAAAAAAAAAAAAAAGAAAGAAAGAAAACTGCCTGGAGTTACAGCAACTAGCACAGTCTATCTGAATGCTCCCAGTGCTGGCTCAGGGCAGTGCTTTGGCAAGCAGGCCTCTGACCCCAGGAGGGTCCTATCGAGCAGTCACAGGACAGGAAGGGGCTGCAGAACAGGCAGAGTTGGTCCTGTCTCACTGTCCCCAACCTTTGAAAGTTTGAAATCGTTCATCTTGAGTGTCTGATAAAGGCTAGAGCCTGGACACGGGAGTTGAAGAGAACCTGTCCCTGAAGATGTGGAGTACCAGTCCCCAAGATGACAGTGCCTCTCGGAACTGCACACGCAGACATGGGATGCATCTCGCAAAAGAAGTACTCACAGCCCCAGACCCTACCCCATCTTCTAAGGCCACCAAAGCCATTCACCTTACACTGCCACCAGGAAGATGGAAAAAGCGTCTCTAGAGGAAAGTGAAATGAATCGATCAGGAAGCCTCGATTTGAGAGCAGAAATATAGACCAAAGAGGGCCCTTTGCTTCTGAAAGAGAACTTTTTTGCATACAAAAAATACACTATTTGATATTAGACTCAGAAATATTGTACTGGAAACCTTTATTTAAAGTGGAAGAACCCCATCTATAGGGTGTGTGCGCTCACCAGAAAAACAGAGAGAGACGGAGAAACAGAAAGCGAGAAATCACCCCCCCAGGGATGGCCCCGCCGCAATCCCTTCTCCTCTCCTCTCCTCTCAGGATCTTGGGCATGCACGCACAGGCACCCAGTGTGAATTTCAAGCCTCTAGGTCTGGGATTTGAACCAAATTCACCCATGTGGGAGTCTAGCTGTGTAACCACTACACCAACTGCTGGCCCCTAGGACTGTCTTCCTTTTTAAGTGACAAACCTATATTCCCAGCAGTGCTGAATAATTTCTCTCCAAGTTCTACATTCGCTATTTACTAGCTTGGCCAAAATAAACAGGGTAATTGGAGTCTCAGTTTCTTCCTCTTGAAATGGGTATAATACAACCTAACGATAAGACCTACCTGACTTACACACTAACTCTTTTTGCCTTTAAGTAACTGTGTAAGATAGGAATTATTACCTTAATTATTTTACTAATAAAGAAATGGCAGGGCCGGCAGGTGGCATGGTAGTTAAAGGCCTGGTTTCCCACATGGCTGACCATGGTTCAAATCCTGGACCTGGCAGTTTGCTTTCTCGCTTTCCCTTTCTTTCTCTCCCTCTCTGGTCAAATAAAAAATAATAATATAAAATAAAATAAATAATTATTTTTTTTAAAAAAGGAAAGAAATGGAAATTCAAAGAAGTTAAGTCATTTGCTTTAACTCATTAAGCTAATTACTGGTTGAGCTAGAATTTGAACCCAGGCTTGACATCAAAGCCTATTATCGCAAACCCTCTCATTGTCTCCCACAGTACCTCAATATTTGTGCATCTGCCTACTTATCCTGTCCTCATGGGACTGTCACAGGAGTCACTGGAGTAAATAAGCTGAGATGTGTGGCTATCACTATAAATTAAAACATTATCCAAAGGTGGAACCAGCTAATGGTGTAATGGTTATGTCACCGGACTCCCATGTAGTCAACCGTGGTTTGAATCTTGCACCTGCTGGCTTAAAACTCACGCCAGGCACATGTGCATATGTGCCCAAAATCCCAAAAGGAGAAGGGACAAGAGGGATTACAGCATGGCCAACCCCCTGGGGAGTGATTTCTCGCTTTCTGTCTCTCTGTCTCTCCAGCGAGTACACACACCCTATAGCAAAATTCTCTCTAAAAACAAAACAACCAACCATTAAAAAAACCATTATCCCAAAGTTAGGGGATTTTTACCTTCAAGGGGTTCTTGGAGAACATATGCATTTAACTGAACTTCATTCTTAGGCAGGGTCACCTGGACACTCTCTCCAGCAGATACCACCAGTTCCTTTATAACTGGAAATAAAATAAACATGCCACAGATCAGAAATAGATCCAAGCTGTCCCATTTCTCCCCTTCCTTTGTGATCAAATTCCTTTGTGAACAGCATTCACCTACGACTTCACTTCCTATTTTTCTTTCTATTCTTTAATCCCCTCAAATCTGACTCTGCCCCTTCTCTTCCACTGAAAAGGATCTTTCGAGGTCACCAACAAAATGCTTCATAGCAAGTCTAATGGCTTTCTCAGCCCTCACCCTTTGCCCCTGCGCCTCTACTGCTGTCGACCACCTCCACCGTGAAAATGTCACCATGGCACGGTGTCCTACCTCTCCTCCTTCCCCTGACTTCTTCCCCACTGTATCTTAACTGCGGTCTGTCCCTACGTTTTCTTCTATACTATTTTCCACAGAGTTCAAATTCTGTTTCAAGGATTACCTTTATGATGATAACTTTCTTGTTTTTTAAAGTTAATTTTATTCACAATAAAGAGTGTGTGTGATGCACAAGCACAAGAGGGAAGATGCAGGAAGTAAGGGTGGGGGAAAGAGAGAAAAGTAGCCCAGCTGGGCCTCACCACACCGTGAAGCCCTTCCCCAGCCTTCTAGCTCTCAGGACCTTGGGCATGTGGGTAGGCCTTACATGTTTCAGGTCAGCTGGCAGGTGTCTGGGCATACGGTCGGCCATGTGGCTCCCAGCCTACGTTCAGACACAGTCACTGTCTAATAAGATGCATATGTTAGGTTCCTAGAAAGGCAAATGGCAGCCACAGGCCTAACTGATTTTCCTCCCATTCCAATTGCTACAGCCGGAGACTCATTGTTCACACTTAGATCATTCCAAGAATCTTAATTGGCCTTCCCTCTGCTAGCTCTCTCCATTCCAACCCATTCTGTCTTCCTAAAACACCCACCACCATTAGACTTTCTAAAACACTAAAATACTTTCTAAAATAGACTTCCCACCATGTTACTCTTCTGTTAAGACCCCTGCTTCTACATTGCTTTTTTTTTTTTTTT